CCCCCCCCCCCCCAATAGCTAGCAATCCAGAACAGTCCAGTGGAGCCTGAGCGGTGGGTGTTGCCTTCTGACACAATTCCGGTGATGTCAGGGGGTGTGGCATATGCAAATAAGTTATGCTAATGAGTTATGCTAATGAGCTCCCGCACCTCTTTTTCTATGAAATTACCCCTGGATTAGACTACTGTAACTTGCTCTACACTGGCCTACCCTTGAGATTGACCCGGAAGCTCCAACTAGGGTGGGCAGGTCCATCTTAATGGAAAACTCCAGGTTGAGAAATTCCTGGAGATTGTTGGGGTGGATCCTAGGGAAGATGGGGTTTGGGGAGGGGAGGGACTGCAGTGGAGTATAGTGCCATAGAGTCCAGCCTCCAAAGCAGCCATTTTCTCCAGGGGAACTGATCTCTGCTGTCTGGTGATCTGTGGTAGATCTCTAGGCCCCACCTGGAGGCTATGAACCCTAACCATCACTGCAACCTATTGGGGACTGCAGCTGATAGGGAGAAAGGTGGTCCTTCAAATCTGATCTATCTCTCTTTATTGGAGAAGGGGAACGCGATCGTTACCTTCTAACATACTTTCCATTTATCCTCTGCAGATCTGGAAGGCAATCTTTACATCTTTAAAGGTGGCTATTTCTGGACCATATCAAAAGCAGGGAACACCACTGGCCCACAGTCACTCCGGTCGAAGTGGCCAGGGCTACCATCCACCATCGATGCTGCTGCCTTCTCAGAGGAAGATGGGAAATTCTATTTCTTCAAAGGTTGGTTACATTCTAGGGTTGCCAGCTCTGGGGTGGGAAATACCTGGGGATTTTGGGGCTGGAGTCTGTGGAGGGAGGGGTTTGGGGAGGGGGGGCCTCAGTGGGATCTAATGCCGTAGAGTCCACCTTCCAAGGTGGCCATTTTCTCCAGGGGAACTGATCTCTGTCGCCTGGGGATCAGTTGTAATAGGGGGAGATCTCCGGCCACCACCTGGAGGTCAAAAACAGCAGAAAAACGCCGAGGAAGATGGTTTTCCCTTGGCGTTTCCTGCTGTTTTCTACTATTACACTCTAGGGATTCCTGTTTTGTCTGCTACCACCTGGAAGTTGGCAACCTTATACATTCATTTGTAGGGTTGCCAGGAAGTGCTTGACAAACTGAGAAAGAGTGGGGAGCACAACATCATGAGAGCTTTTTAAAAAAAATCCAGCCTCATTTACTTACTGGAAGTATACACAGGAAGTGACAAAAGGCTAGCTCTAGAAATTGCTGGAAACTAGGGTTTTACCATAGAGTTTCAAGCAATTCCTAGATCTACTCTGTCACTTCCTGTATGAACTTCTGTTAAGTACATGAGACTGCTTATTTTTCCCTTAATTTTTTTCCCCCTGCCACCGCTTGGAAGTCTGTGGGGAGGGGACATCTGTCACTGATGAATCCTGCAGAAAGCCCTTTTTCTGCCAGAGATCTTGGAAAGATGCTACTAATCACAGTAGACAGCACTGACGGGGCTGGTCCAACCACAAGGAAAACCTAGGCAATTGCGTAGGGTGCCAGATTTTGAGGGGTGCTCAAAAAACAAGGGGAGCTTCCTTTCCTGGCTTGAAGGAAAGTTTGGTGCTCACTGGTCTCTAGAATCTCCATAACTGCTGAATCTGGTCTTCCGTAGCAGCCATGATGGAACATGGAGGGCTTTTGAAGAGCTGATCTCCGTTTGTTTGTTTGTTTGCTTCATCTTGTATTCTGCCCTCACCGCAAGCGGGCTCAGAGCAGATGACAACAGCAAATCCACAATAGGAGTTAAAAAATTTCACGATAGATATTTCACGACAAATAGTTAAAACAAAATTAAAAGCAAAGCTATAAACGAAAGACAGATAGCGCTGCAGTTTAACGCAAAAATCTCGAGAACGAGAGCTGCTAGGCCGTAAACCAGACTGTGGGTTTATTGCTGCATTGTTCATTTGGAATACCCAGTAAGTAAAACATTCATTCGAGACTTCTCACTTAAAGAACATAAGAACATTTTCTCTGTATTAAATGGGGGGGAGGCCACCAGAGCCATAGTTCACCTAGGATGGCAAAGATCTTGGGTCAGCCCTGTTTGGAGGGGGTGTTCCCCCACTGGCCAGTAGGCAGAAGTCCCAAAAACCAGGGAACCCCCTGCTGGGACCTGGGGACTGGCAACCCTAGTGCCTGAGGATGGTGGAGCTGAGAGAAGATGTGGTATCAGCTATAATATCACCATCTGACACTCTAGGAATTTCTTTTAATCTCTATGGCAAAGACCATGGAGCCTAGGGGAATTCCTAGAGTGTCACTATGGAGGCCATTTTTTCCCTCCCACTCCTCAGTTTCACAAGGGTGGAATAGGGTTGCCAGCCTCCAGGTGGGGCCTGGAGATCTCCTGCTTTTACAACTAATCTCCAGCTGACAAAGAGCAGTTCCCCTGGAGAAAATGGCTGCTTTGAAGAGTGGACTCTATGGCATTGTACCATGCTGAGGCCCCTCCCCTCTTCAAACCCCTTCCTCTCCCGGATCCACCCCCAAAGTCTCCAGGTATTTTCTAATCCAGACCTGGCAGCCCTAGGGTGGAAGATTGTGGCTGGGAATTTCCTGCTGGGCCTGGCAATTGGCCTGTTCAGAACAGATGGAAAACTATGCTGCTGTTGTGTTTCATTCACATAGTTTTGCACCCTTCTGGTTTTCCTGGTGACATCTTTAAATTTTTTTGGTCCAGGATGTTATGATATTTTTGACTCTAGCGTATTCCTGCTTTTCGTTCCTCCTGGTTCTATGATTGGGCCGTTTTTGAAAAGCTCAAAAGAAATTTGACACCGGTGTTCTTCCTCTCCCTCCTTACAGGCGGCAGGTGCTGGCGGTACAGAGGCCCCTCACTGGAAGCTGGCTTCCCCCAGAAGTGTAGCAGCACCGGTGATCTTCCGCGCCACCCTGATGCGGCTCTCTATTTCCAGCCCCTCCGCCATCTGGTCCTTTTCAAAGGCCCCAAGTACTACGTGGTTGACGAGGAGACCTTCCAGGTGGAGCCGTACTACCCCAGGAGCTTGAGAGACTGGGGAGGGGTCCCAACCACGGCCAACGGAGCCTTGACTCATTCGGATGGCTTTGTCTACTTCTTCCGAAATGACCAGTACTGGAAATTCGATCCTGATAAGCTGCAGGTTGTGGCCTCTGGGAAATGGGCCCCTCAGTTGCAGTGGCTCGGCTGTCAGGCTGAAGACCCCAGTCAGGCCGGAACATGACCTTCCGTAGAAACGGCAGGCTTGTCAGGGCCCAAATCCAGACGTTATGAATGGTTTCCTGGGCCATGTTTGCGTTTGCTCTTCGTTTGGTCTCAAGTGGATAAACCCAGAAAGGAACTGAGAAGCGTTAAGCTGACTATGGGCTGAGCGGAGGAGAAACCCTGGTGAAGCAAGATGGCTTGTGAAAACGTTACTGTTCATGACATGACTTTTGAGCGCCTCACGATTCAGGCAAGAGGCAGGAGCGACACCCCTTCTCCCTTGTGCAGACTGGAAGAGACTGGGCTGGCGTCTCGCCCTCAGCCAGTCAAGAGGACAGGACCATGGGGGCTCTTCACCTCCACGCTACACCTAATTTTGAAGGCCAGCCTTCCTTGAAAAACCCTCAAAGTCAACTTACAGTATTTTCCTGTCTTCCATGTTTGTCCCAGAACCTCGTTGCCAAGGGACTGGACAAAATGGCGGGCCTTCTTTTTAGTGGTAGGTTGTATTTTGCCATTAGGCAGGCTGGTGCCAAACTACTTGAACTTCTGTCTCAGGATCTCAGTGTTTCTTGTCACTATCTGCTGTGTGGAACCGGCTGTTGCTTTTGTCTTGTGGTAATACTGGTGAATGGGTGGTCGCTTATCCGCAGTTTCCTTCAACATTTGTACCATTTTTAGAACTGTGCCTATTATTTATTATTCTCGCTATACTTTCGCAACATAACGTTGTGCATCCTTACTGTATTCCCACAATAATTATATGAGGCAAGGCTGAGGGATTGTAGAGCGCTCAGAAAGGGTACCCAGTGGTCATTATACCTGAATGGGGGTTGAACATCTTCTTGATAGAAACTCAACACTCAGTCCATTGCGCCATGTTGGTATAAGGTTGTTCGTTATCTAATGTAGAGGTCCCCAACTTTTTTGAGTTTGCAGGCACCACTGGAATGCTAACATAGCATGAAGGGCACAGCCACAAAACGTCTGCTGTAGGAGATGGAGCCAGCCACAAAATAGCTGCCACAGCTTACCTTCAGTTCCACCGTGAAAATCCTTGTGCCATGGTGGCAGTTTCTGCTAAAGCAACATTTTTTAAAAAAATCTGCAAAGCCAATCAGAAACCTTGCTGAGGACAGCCCCACCCTATTACTGATTGCTTTTGCCAATTTCTATATAACCCTTTTATGGATTTGTCCACCTGAAAGATGGCACGGGAAACCTCTTGTGCATGTGTCAGTTTGAAAGTTATACCTCCTATGCAAGTAGTCAGATTGGCCTATTGTAGGTTACTTACGTAGACTTCAATGATGATAATAACTGAATAGTTGGTATCCCAGAATGCCTTGAATGGAAAAAAATATATCACTGCTAAGGCCTTTCATTTTGTAGCCTGCCAGAGCCACTACTCATTTTTTTTAAATGGTTGTTTATTATTGGATTGTGGAACTGCCCATACATTAACTAATTTTATTGTTTTGGATGGTTAAGCTGCGATGAAAAGGGAGAAAAAATTAAAAAAGACAGTGGCCCTGGGAAACCTCAAGAGTTCTTTAAATATCTGCAGGGGGTAGCCTGGTGCTACCATTGTGTGTGTTTTTTAAAAACATTACTACAAATCAGGTCTGCGAAAGAAAGAAAAACAAAACAACGGAATGTTACGGGTTGCCAGCAATGACAATTCTACAGTCAATGGCTGGTTTGGAATCGCCCTATCTGGATGTTTGATGGACAGAAGAAGAAGAGTTGGATTTTTACCCCGCCCTTCACTTGAAGTCTCAGTTTACTTACTTACAATCTCCTTCCCTTCCTCTCCCCACAACAGACACCCTGTGAGGTAGCTGGGGGTGAGAGAGCTCTGAGAGAACTGTGACTGGCCCAAGGTCACCCAGTTGGCTGCACGTCGAGGAGTGGGGAACCAAACCCAGTTCTCCAGATTAGAGTCCAACGCTGTTAAACCACTACACCAAACGGAGCCCAAGCATCATTTCTCTGAGCATGGTGCAAACCTGTGATGCTCCTGGGTCATGCTCCCTCCCCTGTACCCATCTCATCATACCCCAGGCTTCCTCAGTCTTTTTGAGCCTTCAGGCACCTTTGCAATTCTGAAAGATCATGGGAGGAAGTGGAAATCCAAAGACAACATCCGTGACAAAAATAACAAAGAGTCAATAAAGATATGTTGCAAAATAATTTACTGTAGAAAATTCTCTGCTACTATCGCTCACATGCTAATGAATGCTGCGCAATATAAACAGTTTGTTTCACAATATTTGCTTTATCTGAGCGTATAGCAATCACAATTCTCATCAATTACTACTTATCAAATCTTGAAGGAAACATTCCATATTGACTGTCTAATAACAGAACCGAAGGTGAAGAATTGTGATTGCTACACACTCAGATAAAGCAAATATTGTGAAACGAATTGTTTACATTGTGCAGCATTCGTTAGTGTGTGAGGGACAATAGAAGACAATTTTCTACAGAATTACTACAGTCAGTGATTTTTCAACATATCTTTATTGACGCTTCGTTATTTTTGTCACGGATGTTGTTTTTGGATTTCCACCTTTGCAATTTTGAAATAGTGTGGTAGGCACATCCACAAAATGGCTACCATAGAAGGGGGAGCCAGCCACAAAATGGCTGCTGCAACCGACCTTCAGTCAAACAATGAAATGTCTTGTGCTGTGGTAGTAGCTGCTGCCAAAACAATGTTTTTAAAATCTGCCAAGCCAATCAGATCTCCAATGGCCAATCAGAAGCCTTGCTGGGCAAATGTCCCACCTGGCCCCACCCATTTTCTAAAAACACTTGGTGGGCAGCAGGGAAAGTGTTAGGGGGCGCCACGGTGCCTACAGGCACCACTCTAGGGACTTCTGTTATACACTCTGGGGAAAGGGGGGGAGGAACAAGCCAAGAAGCAGCAGTATAGAGACATCCTCTCTGCTACTGAACAACCTCACCTTGTCATCTGACTGTTTCCCCCTCCCAGCATCTTTGCTCTCTGCGCATGCGCATTAGCAGCAGATCTGTCCAAACACCAGCCATAAAAAGGTCGGCCCCATAAGGGGCTTGGGACCCAGCAGGTAAGGCTCAGAGACCCCACCAGATTGTCTTGACCTGTTGGTTGAACCCCACTGTACTGAAACACACTGGGGGGGTTGGGTTGAACCCCACTGTACTGAAACACACTGGGGGGTTGGGTTGAACCCCACTGTACTGAAACACACTGGGGGGGTTGGGTTGAACCCCACTGTACTGAAACACACTGGGGGTTTTAGGGTTTAGGTGTCTTAGGGTTTGGGTAGGAGGTTTTATTCAAGGGAGGTTTTGTCTTCCAATGCAGGGCTTGGGTCTGCCCGCTGGCTACATTCCCGACTTTATGGCTTGAGCAACGTTGCCAACTCTGGCTTGCCAACTCTGACTTGGGAAAGGCCTAGAGATTTGGGGGGGGGGTTTGCCTACAGAAGGTGAAGTTTTGGAGGGGAGAGAGAGCTCAGTATGGATGCGAAGCCATCGAGTCTCTCCTCCACAGCTGGCCTTTCCTCCAGGGGAACCGATCTCTGTTGCGTGGAGATCAGTGGTTATTCCAGGAGAACTCCAGGTCCCGCCTGGATGTTGGTAACCCTGTGGTCCAGGAGATGGCGTCCGCACCCATCGCCCCAACCGCAATGCGCTTCCTTTAACCACTAGGCGTCAAATCAGTGCCTGACCACACTCTGAGGCTCTGATCATCTCCGCTTTTCTCCAGGTCAGCTTGTTATTCCGGCTCCTCCGGCCCAAGGCATGAAAGCGGGTGTTTGCTGTCCTTTGTCCGTCTTCATGTTGCAACATGCCGATGATGTTGACCCTTGTCGGCCCTCTATTGACAAATCGCTTACAGCCTCCTCCCTGAGACAGGCAATTTCGTAGTGAGATGAAAGCACACTCGATGTGGCGTTTGGCAGGAGGGATCAAGACTGGCACTGAAATGTCTGTTCCGATTTTTTTGTCAGGAAAAAAGCCTATTCCTGCACCAGAACACAGGGGCCTCCCACCACCTGCAATTCAGTTCAAGAAAGCTTACTGGATCTTGGGGAATAGGAGTTTCTTTATGAATGGGCAATGGATTGGCCTTAATGAGGGGGAGTTCATAATGGTGTTTGTTCAACCTTTTGTATCTCACATTCTCAGGACCTACTTGGTTCCCGAGGTAACTCTCAGTCAAAAACAGAAACACTTTTTTAAAAGCCAAAGCAAGATTAAAAAGCAGGGAGACCTTAAAAAGACACCGCTGAAGTGAGCAGCGTCGACTAGTTAAATAATAACTACAAACCTTAATGTCAAGTAAACCAGAGGCACTACATATAAGCTGACAGGCAAGCAGAGCAATTAGAGCTCGCGCACTTCAACAAAACGCCTGGGAAAAGAAGTCCTCAAATGGTAATAAGTGAGGGCATGTGGAGGGGCCATTTTGCAATTTGAGGGGCCATGACAGAGAAGGCCCTGCCTCTTGGAACCACCCACTTGGTTTCTGAAGACGGGGGCACAAGGACTCTGAAAAAAATCTTAATTGATGGGCAGGGCTGGGACTCAGTGGTAGAGTATTTGTTTTGCATACAGAAAGTTCAAGGTTCAGTCCTGGGCATCTCCATTGATCAAGGGTCAGGTAGTAGCTGCAGTGAAAGACCTGCAACCTGGAGACCCGCTGCCCGTCAGAGTAGACAATACTGACTTTGGTAGACCAAGGGTCTGACTGGGTGTAAGGTAGGCAGCTTTGTGTGTTCATAGGCAGGTCCAGAGAGGAGGAGGCAGGCCCCTAAGATACCCTGGTCCCCAACCACTGAGGGTGTTTGGCACTTTGAATTCAGCCTGGAAACAAACTGGAAGGTGGTGGCGGCGGCATTCTTTTAATGCTTGAAAAATACATTTTCAAGGGTGGTGAGAAGTGCCATCACGCCACAGCTGACTTATGGCAAGCCTGTAGAGTTTTCGATGCAAGAGATGTTCTAGGGTTGCCAAGTCCATCTTCCACCCCCAGCGGGGGACTTTGGGGGCGTTCCTGGAAGGGGTTGGGACGTCTGCCCCCCCCCACCTGGCCGTGCACTGGATCTCCAGAAACAGCAGTTCCCTGCACTTAAAGTAGCCAGCAGCCGGCGTTTCCCCTTGAAGAGAAGCTGCGTTTCCCTTTTAAGAACGAAGCTGGCTTTTCCCTGTGGAAGCTTGTGGAGTTCGCGCTTGGGATGAAATACGGGTTGCACACCCTTAAAGGGAGAGAGATGGGTGGCTGTGGGTGTTGGGGGTGGGGCTTCCCTCGCCGGCCAGATGGCCAGCGGCGGGTAGAACCCTCCCAAAATGGGGGACCCCTGGCAATCCGGGGGGTTTGGCAACCCTAAGATGTTCAGAGGTGGTTTGCCGTTGTCTTTGTGTAGCAACCCTGGACTTCCAGTTTGGTGTGGTTAAGAGCGGTGGACTCTGATCTGGAGAGCCGGGATTGATTCCCCACTGGTGGACCTCCTGATGGCACCTGGTATTTCTGGCCACTGTGTGACAGAGTGTTGGACTGGATGGGCCTTTGGCCTGATCCAACATTGGCTTCTCTTCTGTTCTTATGTTCCATATTCTGCCAGCTGGGTGACCATAGGTCGAAGTTCTCTGAGAGCTGTTCTCTTAAGAGAACAGCTCTCTCAGAGTTCTTTCAGCCCCACCTACCTCACAGGCTGTCTGCTGTGAGGAAGGGAAGGAGATTGTAAGCTGCTCTGAGACTCCGAGTGAAGGGTGGGGTTTAAATTGAATTCTTCTCCTTCTTCTTCGTGGTGTCCCATCCAGAACTTAACCAGGGCTGATCCTGCTTAGCATCCATGATCTGATCTGACAAGATCAGGCAAGCTTGGGCCATCCCGGTCTCTCTAGCCAACACCGGTCAGTGATCTTGTGGCCGTATCACCTGTCAACTGAAAGTCCTGAACTATCCTCAAGGGCAGCCCCATACAAAGCACCTTGTGGTCATCCAGCCTGCATGGCCCCCCAGCTCGGGTGGGATCTT